AGCCTCGAGTGTTTACTTAGATGTGTCGGTATTCTTGTATATAAGACCGCCAAGAAGTGACGACAACAAAGGGAATTGAATTGCAGACAGAGATAGGGATGACAATTGAGTCAAGCGCGTGAATCGTTCGTTCTTTGTGAATTATAGCGTTTGTTTATGTTATAGCGTGACTGTGGAAATTAAGTGTATTTCAAAGTTGTATTGAGAAAAAATAAACTAGTTTTATTTAAGAAAGGACTTGTATCGCTACAGCTTCTTCGGAAAGAATTTTTACGGAAAATTAACAAACGAACACAGAGGCGTAACAATATTAAAAAAATATAACTTGTAGAAATAAAGTAAACCTTTGGATACCACACACGATAAATTAAATTATCTTGTGTAAAATAAACTATTATTTTATTTTTTTTATCCACTGAAAAGCGAAAAAATCTGAGAAATGGAGCTAGCTATAAACCTATAAATACATGAACTCTCTCTCCAATTAGGTATATGAAATGAAAAGTCTATAAATTTCTGTTGGGCGATATAATCATTTATTTACGTAATACTACTGAAGAGAATTTGTACTAATCGATTATTTTTTGTGCGAAACTACACAGTGACGATCTACGCAATGTCCACCGTAAGATTGACACAGGATTTTAACGTTCATTCTTTTCAATTTATAAGAATAAACTTTGTTATATAAGAAAAAACTAAAAACTGCACGAAAATATTCGCTTTGAGGTTTGAAGTAGGTTGTCCATACTGTGCATAATTGATAGACCATGGTCCAATGGTCTAAATTTATTAATTTTTTTAACTAGGATATTAAAGACCTAATTTTGAAAAACAAATAACTTATATATTGATACAACATATTTGATATTAAATTAATGATAAACAGGGTAGTTATTTCTGTAGCATGGCACGTTGTATTGACTATTAAATCAAATTTCGTACAAATTAGATCTCAGTATGTGAGTTACTTTACTATCCAGTAGATGGCAACACTAACTTTTGGTTGATGAGCTGTTAAGTTAACGACGTGATTACTTAGTAGTATAATAAAAACCAAAAGAAAAAGAAAATGATGTTTGAAAATCTAAAGGATAAAATTATTAATGTTCAACATGACCTGACCTCAAGGTAAAATCCAAAATCGTCCAGGTGTAAATTATTGTTTCTGTAGTAGTGGCACTTGTACAACTAGTAGTGTCTTTAGACTTTAGTACTATTGTAATAGTAATATCAATACAAGTGCTATAAATTATAATGTAGCAAACAAATTGTATACTGTAGTGTAGTAGTTGTATTAATATTTGTATTGTATTTGTATTCCTGTCAACGTCAAATTCTCACAAAACCTGGCCCTAAATTAAAATCATTACTAAACAAAAATTATTTGGAATCACACAATACAAACGTCATTTACAAAATAACATGCAATAACTGCCCAGAATTCTACATCGGAGAAAAAGGAAGAAAATTGTAAACCAGATTGACAGAACACAATAAAAAACCATCCCATGTTTTTCATCATTACAACTCAAAAATCATAGTATATCTATTAAAAACACAGTCATTTTAAACAAAGAACCCAACATAAACAAACGAAAAATCAAGGAATACATTTTAATTGAACAAAACAACCCTACTCTAAACCAACACCCCGGGGTGCCAAGATAGTCTTCTAAGTTTTGCAACAGTATCTGGTCATGTGACCTCTTTGTTCAATACTGTATATATATCCATGTCAGTGTAAATTACTTGTACCTGATGATGACAAAACCTTGTTGAAACGTTGTACATTTGCTGTTATGTTAAACTTATATTAAAGTTTTTCTTCATTATCCATTCAAGCCTTCTCCAACCATTATTAGTCTCAAAGTGGGTTCCTCGACATTGAATTTGAATTCAGTAATTATGTTGACTATTTTGCTTTTCTAACAGTAACATTAATAATATGATGCAAAGTCCATTATTCATTTCACTGTAATTTTCAGTATAACTGTTTTACAAAACTTCAGTATGTAATGAGGTCAACTTGTAAAGTTGTATGGTACAGACACAGGAAATTATTTTTTAGATTGTTTTAACTTTATTTTTATTTGATATGCAAAATTTAATTATTTTGCCATCAATCTGTACTGTAACTGATCATTTTGTTTTTAAGTACCACATTGGTTAGTTATATCTTATGGGAACTGAAATTCAAGAGTATTGAAGACATAGCCAATACTGTATGTAAATTGTTACCCATATTTCATTCAATAACATCAATGCTTTTGATTGTATTCTGTACACTACACAATTCAAATACTTACAAGTCTTCATAAACATCCAATAACAATTGGAAATCTTAAATTTTTTAGAAAAGCACAATTTTTTCCCCCTTAAGTATTTAATTTTAAAATGTTAGAAATAGCAGATATTTAAGAGTTATAAACTAGATATAAAGAGACATTTCAGAGCATTAAGAATAGGAAATTTTGAATGTTCTTTCATGATTTATACCATCAGGTAATTTTGGACAGATAATATAATTTTTAGCAGAGTGCAAGGATTACATGTAAATAAGAAATTAGTGGAGTCTCTCAGTTAACATTTAAACTGGTTAAACTTGTGAGATGTATTTAAGGGTAAAGGAAAAATATATTTGCAATGACTGTGGCTTCATTTAAGTATGTTTGGAAATTATATATTTGGGTAAGCACTTAATTAAGTTATTAGGGAGACTGCTTGAATTTAGATAGAAGCAAGAACAAACTGTTGATCTTGTGATGGATTTTAGCAAATCTAAGGAAAAGAGATTAATTATATTGATAGTGAAGCAAAAAGTTTACTTTCCTGTATACTTGTATATTAATATACCACAGAGGTTATAATTGTTTAGCCCAAGTTTGGAGTATTGTGTTCAGTCTTGGGTTCCTTATCTTAGAAAAGACATTGAATTATTGGAAAGATTTAGAGGACTATTACTACTACTACTAGTATAATACCTGGGATGGAAAGGTTACTGTATGAGGATAGGTTAACTTAAGATCTCTGAACTTGTTTTCTCTTGAAAAAAGAAGTGTTAGAGGGGATCTGAGTGAGGAGTTTAAGATTATTAAGGGAATTGATATTGTTGATGCATCACCTTTTTTCATATTTAATGGTGAGAATGGTAAGACTAGGGGACACGTAAATTTTGGCAGGGAAGAGGTTATCTTCAGCTAAGATAGCTTTATTTTAGTAACAGGGTGTTTGGCATTTGGAATTGGTTGCCTTGGATGTGTTGGATGCAGTTAATTTTAGGGATATAAAGTGTAAGCTTGATAATATTTGATTTAGAATGGTTGGTTTTAAGGTGTGTTTTTTCTCATTTGGTTTAGTTTAATTTAATGAATATGACAACTTAGAGGGAGCAAAATATCTATTGTGACCTTTTAATGGTATAATATGTTACATATGACATTGTTTGAAGCAAGTCATTGATATGTAATAGAGCTTAACAATTAGTGGAATTTGATAATTGATTTATTGTTGGGCTCATTAACTGATTATTCTCACATGAGACTTGGATAGTTAGAATAATTGAAAATACTAATTTTGACTAGTTGATTATTTTCATGAGTTGTGACACTAATTGATTAAGCAGAGTAACCTAGAATTAATACAAAATAATGATAAATCATATTGGTAATGTTCTGATTACTTAGATAATTCAAATAATTGGAGCAGAATTAATAAAAAAGTACAGAGTATATAGAAAGTTAGTATATTGTGAATAAAACAAGAGTGGTGCCAAATGAGTATATTTTTTTTCTAATTCAGGAAAATTAACTAATGATGTCTCAAAGGTTTGTTTTAGGACCTATGCTATTCCTTATCTATATCAATGATTTGGAGAAACTTCTTTCACTGTAATATGTAAATACTGAAAAATGTTAAGTTATTTTCTTGGGGGTATAGAAATTTGGAAAGATCAAAAATTGGTGTTGTGATAAAAGAGAAGGATACAGGTGTAATAAAGGGAAGTAAAATTCCTCTGCCATATTGAAAAAAAAGCATACAAATTTTGATTGTAGGAATTTTAAATTTAAGACAGAGGGTTGTTGTCATATTGGTTAAGATTAGCAAAGCCACATTTGGATGTTGTGTACACTTTGGTCTTTGTACTACCAGAATAATTTCAACATGGAAAGAATGAAGGAACAGATTATTACACTGTACTCTAGAGGTTACCAAGCAGTCACTTCTACCATCATTGATGATCGTTAATTGTATGTAGTAAGTCATTTTTGCCAATTTAGTGCCAAATTGGTGACTTAAGTGAAACCTTAATAAGCTTTACAACAGTTTTACATGCTGCAGCCATCATCAATCTCCCTGAAGCACTGATAAGACTACACTTACAACTTGAGAAGATTTGCTTGGACTGGTCAGTTGACTAATAAATGTTTCGTTCCTAGCTCTACAAAGTGTGATTAAATGGTTATAATGAAACAGCATCATGGAAAAACTTAAACTATGTAGCAGTAGGCAACCTGGCTTTTAATTAGCATGTACTATTTTTTAGATGCAAGTAACTCAAACTAAAATAATAAAATGTTTTTGAACATTGAATCTACATGTATATATGTCATGAAGCTCTGTAAAGACAACCATCATTTTCCAAGTGGATATACAGAATATATATATAATATGATGCTGAAAAGAATGAATTTTTATACAAGGCTTGCATGAAAGCTAAGGACCTGAAAATTTTTACTACATTATTTTTCTAAAGCTGGATAAATCTCATTTATTACAATTTTTTTTTTTGCATTTTGGATATTCAAGTTTCAGCATAATTAGCCAGTTTGGTTACTGTTATATATTAGCTAGCTATAGCCTATAATAATATCTAGTTTAAGTAGGTTAGACTACTTGGAAAGGTACAAAGTTTAATATTTGTTTTTTTTTTGCTGAACCATGAAGACTTGGGAAGCTTTGTCTTTTGATGACAGTGCTTACAATTATTAGTTTTCTGTGAGCGATTTATCTGAGTGATGAAACAAGAAAGTTGTAAATACAAACAATTACAAGAAGAGTCTTATATGGACTCATTCTTTGACAGAATTATTTTTGGTTATATGTGGACTTCTGAAATGGTTTGTCTGATTCTGTGGTTTGTGTAATTAAGTTTGAATTATTTTTGTTAAATGTATATATGAATGGGAAAGTTGATATTTAATCTTTTTTTTTATCAATAGATGGTTGAAATGAATAACCCTGATGGCCTTCTTATGTTATATATATATATATATATATATATATATACACATATACACATATACTGTGTAATTGTGTAAAATTTAAACTTTGTAGCTGGAATTATGAATGTTCTGAGATAGGTGACTTGCTTTAATCTTC